CTCGGGTCTCTACCCTGCCTTTCACTGGACTGCTAGGCCTTACACCCCTTGGACCTCAGGCCTCACTCTGTGGACCTTGGCCCTCATCTCAGGCCCCCTTCTATCACCCTGGACCCTGCCTCAGGCCCCATTCAAAGAGCCTAGGCCCTGTGCTTTTCTGTTAGGGTGTGATCCCCTAGGCTTTCCCCTCCACAGGGTCATCCACAAGGCACCAGGGCTGAGACTTTCTGGTGCCCGATACTCACCTTTCACTAGGGAGTCACAGATGTGGCATTTCCTGGAGACTGCCCTGCCACAGGCAGCCCCACCAAACCATCCTCTCCAGCATAGTGCATTTTTAGGTCATTCCCTAGGACCAGGAACCTCCTCTATCCCCATAGCTCCTATGCTTAACCTTCAGATGTTCTGGGAGCAGGCTCCTCCAGCCAGGCAATGTTACTCCAGCAGCATTCCTGCATCAACTACCAGGTCTGCTCTCAGGGCATTGGCGACATGTAGGGGGTGCATGCAGGTGCACATGCACCCCCTAAGGTTGGTAGTGCACCCCGTATGAAAAGCACCACTGACACTGCTGGCATTGCCTGCGGGCAGTCACCACTCACCACCCTCCCTCACTGCCAATACTGCCATCAGAGTCTGCGGGTGGTCCCTGATCACCACTGGCTGCCACTGACACTGCCGGAGGCATCTACAGGTGGTCTCTGACTACTTGTCAGTGCTTGCCACTCCCCCACCACCACCAACACCACTGCAGCCACCTGTGGGAGCACCCTGCTTGCCGCCGCCACCACCTGCGAGCCTCTGGGGGTGGACACACGTCATTCGTGTCCGAGGCCTGGTCTTATACCCAGACTCCCCAGCATCTCCACCAATCAGATGGCCTCCTGACCACCATGTGAACATCTGATTGGATCTGCTCCCACCTGCTCCCACCTGCAAGCTGTTCTGCATCCTGCTCAAACACTTTAAAGTGGCAGGCAAAACCTATGCCCTGCCACAGTCACCTATTAGGCATCTAAGTGAACTTAGGTGCCTAAGTGCAATTCTACTCCATCCTGTTCAAGTCCCTGAAAATCGACCAATACATCTACTTTTGTAGCACATTGTCATCTTTCTTTTAAGACTGAGTCACAAAAAAGGACAATCTGTTCACCTTTTGTATTAACAGCTTTTCAGGGACTGAAACAGGTTGGAATATAATGATCACACTTGGGCACCTGATTCCACTTACATGTTGAATATTTGGAATAGAATCTGGCCCCTTGTCTCCACAAGGATTTTCCAGCAGAGCACCGGAAGGTCATTATCATCCTACTGCAAAACAGAAACAAAAAACAAAACAGAAAAAACCCTTTTTGCATAGCCTGTCTGTAAAACTGTATGTATTTCTTGAGCAAACTTCACTGGAGAATGAAATGTCTCAGAGGCATGAATAACATGCTTTAGGGTTGTTGGTTGTAGCCATGTTGGTCTAAGGACATAGGCAGACAAAATTCTTTGTGTAGATGTGATATCTTTTATTGGACCAACTAAATAGTTGGAGAAATTGTTCTTTGCAAGCTTTCAGGCATAAAACCCTTCTTCAGGCAGTGCCCAAAAGCCTGCAAAAACAATTTTTCCAACTATTTAGTTGGTCTAATAAAAGATATCACATCTCCCCAAATAACCTTTTCTGAATAATATGCTGATAGTTTTATAAGTACAGAATCAAATACTGCAAATGAAGGGGCCAATAGTTGCCTGGGGCATGGCTTTACCTGTTGATTTTGGTATGCTGTCACTGTTGTGAAGACAGTCTCAGGGAAGTTGAAAGTTTTCACCCCATCACCTGCAGGCACTGGTTTTGTAGGAGACAGATCACTGCTGAAATCCTTACGGATCACATGAACTCGGGGCTGGTACTTGTGCATTGAATGTAGTATTATCTTGAAGGAAAGAAAGAAAAAACATAGAAATGATTTGCCTTTGGGACGTAGTATTCCTATAACTTTTATAATTATAGTTACTAGTAGTTGTTATTTATTATTACTCATTATTCACACTGTCCTAATTATCACACAAGGTTGAAGAGGGGATAAAGGACCCTCAAGACTAATGCCTTTTGTTATGAAATTGTGCTGTCTTTATCCACATCTCCCAACTGTGTATGAAAGTCTTCTTCCTGTTATAAGCTGCATCACCAAACTGAACTCCCATCCCAAATGGAGAATGGGCAGAGGAAAAAGGGTTTACAGCTTTATGGATTAGCAGTATCTGAGACTGAAAGCAGTGGAGCCAGGCAAGAGAACTCTTCAGCTCCATGTGGAATGGCCGTATCCACTTATCCACAGCAGAATGTCTGAAAAGCAATGTCATTTTGTGGGAGCTGGGGTGTAGGGGGGAGGAAGGGAGCAGGGGTAGTTGTTGTGGGACTAGGATGGCAAGTGTCAGCACTGGTTCTGACTTACATGGCCTTGATCATCAAGCTCGTTGTTGGTCAGTTTGAGTTTATCAAAACTGACCACTTGCCTCATCCAGGTATCTCCCGAAGCCAGTGAGTCAGGATGGATGTATACCCGTGGGGGTACTGGGGAGTCAGCATTGCCAGCCACCATCCATTTGGAGCTATGGTACACATACCTGGAAGAGAGAGGAGAATCCATATGGCTAAGTCAACCTGAAGCCCACTGCAGAAGTGGTATTTATTGAGTGCTGCTCGCCCCCACAAGCCTCTCCCCTCAAGCCCACAGGAGCAGCTAGGTGAGAATTTGCTTTACTGCAACATTCTGCCTTGCAAAGGCAAGCCGGGAAATCCTTCACCTACTTGTTCAGGTTTAATTTCTTATTAAAACGACTTCTTCAGTTACTCTCCCTATAAAATTCTGCCAAGCATGCTGTCCCAACTCCTGAGCCTACTCATGGCTGGCATATGACTTTATAAAAACACTAGTAAGCTCTCCATTATTTCTAAAAAGCTTACAGGTGTGAACTATCCCATAGGCTGTTCAGTGCACATGCATGTTTGTCTGGAAATGGCAGAATTCAGCGGCCACCACAGGAATTGTCAATGGAGCTGAGTAGCTGGATGGAAAAATTACCAGACAGGTAAATACCACTTCACCTTTGCCTGAACCTTATAATGCTCGAGAGCAGCCTCTCCACAAGACCTCTACAATATTTCAGATAGGCTGTCTTCTAAATTGGTGTGCCAGTTAGCCTGGCTAAGCTAATGACCTTATCTACAACACCATGTGGACACAGCTACTCTGCTTCCAGTTCAGAAAGCAGCCTGCCTGGAACAGTCCAGCCTGTTTGAAGGTACTCAGGAGTATGGTAATTTTACCATAGATAGATATAGCCTTAGTCTTTCAAATGCAAAGGTTGCAAAAAGTTTAGAAGTTCCTCATTCTTGGCATATCAACCTCTGGATTTCTTAATTTTGTAACTATTTTGTATAGAGTGATATTCTATAATCTACCTTGAGCCAATGACACTTCAGGCAAAGCTTACCTACTATGGATCTCCCAAGGCATCTTAGTTTTGAAAGGCAAAATTGTCCCCTATTCTAGTACTAGGAAATTCCCTCACTGCTGTGGTGGTGTACCTCAGACCTGAGGTTCCAGTGTCTGCTATTCTATGACTAGATAGAGGGAGGCATAACTAGCAGGGCTGGAAGTAATGAGGACGGGAGCAGGGAGGTACCCCTGAGTGCCAGAGGAAGGGTTTCCAAGAGCAGGAGGGAATGGGTTGCAGGGGTCAAATCTATCCTGGAGACTTAAAAGCAGTCCCCAGCTGCTGCTGCTGCTGCTGCTGCTACAGCCACAGTATGGTCTGCTTGCCCTGGCTAGAGCAATGCTGTGGAGCTGCTTCTGCTGCCTGTACACAGATTCCATGGAGGTGAGGGATGCAATTCTGGTGCCCCCTACTAAATTGGCACCCAGTGCTGGTGCCCTGCTTGCCCACCCCAAGTAACGCTGCTGGGCCTGGATCACTACTTAGTATGTTGCCCATCAATCCTTACCTATAATTCATAATTTGCTGCCTATTTTTCCCCAAAGGAGCACCTACAATATTTTTTACCCATAATAGTTTGTTGTGCATATACTACCCAAGGAAGGAAAGACGTACCTGGAAGTCCACTCATTTTGTACTTAAACTCATACTGTACGAATCATAACTAATGAAAGAAGCAACACAACTGCATAAAGATCTAGTTACACCCTGTAGTATGATGCATTTCCTTGGAGAATTCTGCATTTTGTTCCTGAGCTACAAAGTCCAAAGTGTATAATTTCAAGAGGAACAGATCTCCTCTCCCCAGGAAATTTACTGAAAATCCATGATACCTGATGCTGTCTTGTCCATTCCACCAGAAAAATATTTTTCCTTCAGCAGTATTTTCATGTGCCATGGGGATAAACCAAGGGGCAATCTGGCTGACCTGCTCGACTGGGCTTTAAACTAAGCCTGCCAGAGCTTGGGGAAGGTTGCCACCACTGCAAGCCCACTGGGCAACCTTTCTAAATCCAGAAGGCTAAGGCATTTAAGGGAACCCACCCCTACCCTAGCCCCAAATCGACTGATCTGTGGGGAAGGCAAGAGCCCCCAACGAGACACTTGCCTGCCTGTACACCAATGCCAGGAGCTTGAGGAATAAACAGGAGGAACTTGTCCTCCTGCTAAACAAGAATGAATACGACCTCATAAGGATAATGGAGACCTGGTAGGACTCCACCTATGACTGGGCCACAGCTATAGATGGCTATACCCTGTACAGGAGAGATCATGTAGACAAAAGGGGTGAGGGTGTAGCTCTTTATGTCAAGGACAGCTACATATCCCTGCAATTGACATTGGCACCCAGGAAGGATGACTGGAGTCCCTCTGGGTTAAAATACATTGGGCACAGGGGACATCATAGTAGGAGTCTACTACAGACCTCCTAACCAGAAACAAGAGCAGAACCAGGAATTCACCAGGGAACTGGCTGAGGCTGCATGCTCTCAGTGCATGGTTGTCATGGGAGACTTTAACTACACAGACATCTCATGGAAAGAACACCTGGCCAAAACTGATCAGTCACAAAGCTGCCTCACGTGAGTGGATGAGCTCTACCTGACTCAAGAAGTCTATGGGCTGACAAGAGGTAAAGCGTTGCTGGACCTGGTACTGGCCAAAGGGGATGACCTAGTCAGTGACCTAAAAATCGATGGAAAGCTGGATGAGCTGATCACCTTTACTATCCATTGCAAAGCTGGCAAGTCAGTCAGCAATACAGAAGTCCTCGACTTCAGGAAAGCTGACTTTGACAAGCTCAGGATGCTCGTTGTCAAGGCCCTAAGGGACCATGACTTGACAGGAAGAGGAGTCCAAAAAGAGTGGTTGCTCTTCAAGCGAGCAATCCTGACAGCACAAGGGATGGCCATTCCATCTCGGAGGAAGGATAGCAAAAGGGGACAGCAGGGAACTTGAGCAACTCCTACACCTCAAAAAAGAGACTTATAAAGGATGGAAGGCTGGAATTACCACCAAGGAGGAGTTCTCAGCACTGGCCCATACCTGCAGGGAGCAGATCAGGAAAGTCAAGGCTGTAACCAAGCTCCATCTGGCTTCACATATCAAGGATAACAAAAAGTCCTTTTTCAGATATGTAGGGAGTCAGAAAAAAGCAGGAGTAGCATTGGACCCCTGCTGAACCAGATGGGACAGCTGATAACCGACAGGCAGGAAAAGGCCAACCTGCTTAATGGGTACTTCATGTCGGTCTTTCGTAAGTCCAATGGGACTGCCCTGCCTAGCAAGATGTAGGATGGCCAGGGTGAGGGCATATTTATACCCAGCATCAGTGTTGATCTAGTAAAGGATCACCTTGAGAGGCTGGACACCTTCAAGCCAACTGGTCCTGACAGATTACACCCTAGGGTACTCAAGGAACTGGCAGGTGTCATCGCCCAACCATTGGCAAAAAATATTCGAAAACTCATGGCTCTCAGGTGAAGTACGTGAAGAATGGAAGAAGGTCTATGTGGTACCCATCTTCAAGAAAGGGTAGAAAGTAGACCCCAGGAATTACAGGCCAATCAGCTTGACCTCAATCCCCGGTAAGATTCTGGACAAAATTATCAAGGAGACCCTTCTAGATAAGCTTGCTGAGGGCAGCATCCTGAGGGATAGCCAGCATGGGTTTGTCATGGGTAGGTCTTGCCTGACCAATCTCATCTTCTTCTATGACCAGGTGGCATACCACCTGGACAAGGGAGAAGAGATTGGCGTCATATATCTGGACTTTAAAAAAGCCTTTGATCTGGTGTCCTCATGGAAAAATTGACCAACTGTGATCTCGGCTACACCAGTCCGATGGCTGGGAAACTGGCTCCGAGATCAGACCCAGAGAGTAGTAGTGGTCGATGGTAGCAAATCATTATGGTGCACTGTGACCAGTGGTGTCCCCCAAAGCTCTGTCCTTGGATAAGTTCTCTTTAACATCTTTATCAATGATGTGGACGTTGGTGTCAGAAGCGTACTGGCTAAGTTCAGTGATGACACTAAACTTTGGGGCATAGTGTCCACACCTGAGGACAGGCTAGTGATCTAGGCTGACTTGGATAAACTTAGTAAGTGGCGGATACAAACCTGATGATGTTTAATACTGATAAACGTAAGGTATTACACCTCGGGGAAAAAAAACCCCACAGCATACTTATAGGCTCAGCAGTGCTACGCTTGCTAGTTCCATGGCTGAAAGAGACTTGGGGGTCATTATTGACCACAAGATCAACACGAGCCACCAATGTGATGTCGCAGCTGGTAAAGAAACCAAACTCTGGCTTGCATCCATAGATGCTTCTCAAGTAAATCTCAAGATGAAATCCTCCTGCTGTACTCAGCCTTGGTGAGGCCGCAGCTAGAGTACTGCATCCAATTCTGGGCTCCACAATTCAAGAAGGATGTTGAGAAGCTTGAGAGAGTACAGAGGAGAGCCACATGCATGATCAGAAGGCAAGACAATAGGCCTTATGAAGACAGGCTGAGAGCCATGGGACTCTTCAGTCTGGAAAAGCGCAGACTCAGGGTGACCTGTTGGCTGCCTATAAGTACATAAGGAGTGTACATCAGGATCTGGGAGAACATCTGTTCACCAGAGCGCACCAAGAAAAAACTAGGACCAACAGTCATAAACTCCTCCAAGACTGTTTTAGGCTGGACATAAGAAAAAATTTCTTTACTGTCCAAGCCCCAAAGATCTGGAATAGACTCCCTCCAGAAGTGGTGCAGGCACCTACTCTGGACTCTTTCAAGAAACGTTTGGATGTTTATCTTGCTGGGATCCTCTGACCCTAGCTGACTTCCTGCCCCTGGGGCAGGGCGCTGGACTTGATGATCTTCAAGGTCCCTTCTAGCCCTAATGTCTATGAAATCTATTAAATCAAGAACAATCAAGAGTTGGCCTATCAATGCAGGAAAATCATTTCATCTTACTTTTCAGTTTCACAGGGGATTTGTGCCAAAAGTTTCCTGCAAAATTGTTGAGGCTCCTGCTCATGGATCAGGTCCTGCATCATGTGCTACTCTAGGTCCAGATATCAAAAACAGACCAGTACATGCAGCTCAAGCCTGACATGTGACCACCCCAACCCTCCTATGTAGGTGTCCATACATTTTTTGCTGAAGAACTGCAAGCACAACCAAAACACTCCCTCCTTTTTCAGTTACTTTTTTCTTGGCCTGTGGGTGCATGAACAATTTACCACAAGGTAAACTAGGGTGTGAATTTACATCACATCAGCTACTCTGCAGTACATGCCTATATAAACACTCTTATTCTGTGGTAATTGTGAACCAGCCATCCCTATATCTATGAAGGATGAACTAAACATGCTTCCTGTGTGCACACTGGTATTTACTGCAGAGTAGTCAACACACCCTAACTTACCTTGCAGTGTCTTGTTTGTGTGCCCCTCCCTTAAGATAGTGATTCCTAGTCACTATTAACTGTAGAATGTAGATTGAAAAATGGACATCAGAAAGATTTAAATGATTGATGTTTGAAATTCAAGGGCAGAACTTGAATCCTGATCTCCAAAAGTACATGGAAGTATATTAATCTCATGTTTCCCACTGGGCCAGATCTTGAACTGTGTAAATCTATGTAGCTATGTTGACTTGTACAAGTTGGAAATGTGGTCCTGTCTCTTCCTATGTGAAATGTACACCTTTACACTGGATTCTGGTAGAAAATGCTTTTGCCAGGCTCCTATATCACAGTATTTGGAGTCTAGCTGACATGCTGTTCCTCTTTCTGTAAAAGCTTACCTGTATCTTTTGTTATCCACAGGCACAATGTCCATGGCTATGTAATATTGCTGATGGGGGTCCAGGCCTGTAATTTTCACTCTCATGGCTGGAAACATTCTCCTGGAAAAACAAAAGAGTCCATAGAGATGACAAAGGAGAATGGAGGAATAAGTAGGAAAGGTCAGGAGATGGCTTTTGTACCTGCTCTGACATCAGGAGCCACCATGAAGATATTGCATCATGAATGTTCTAATATGTTTCTCACTTGGACTGACTCTTATGTGGACAGTACAGAGGTTAGCTTTGCTGGTTGCCAGACATTTTCTGTTTGGAATCTAATGGTTTTTTTCAAACTAGGAAAGGTTTAACAGTCTACTGTTCTAGTACAAGTTTCTCTTCTGTTCTAGTGCCTGTGCTACAGTTCTAATACTTCAGAGTCAATCACCTTTGGCTCAACAAACTTGTGGCATTCAGGTTTTTGTCCTTCTGTTCATGAATATTAAATTTGTGATGCTAATCACAGATAATGAGCTATGTTTCAGTATTCCAAAAAGAAATCTGAATCTCTAAAATCAACGAAGGGGTTATTGTTGTTTTTTTAAATCTAGTTCTTTGTTATTTGGTAGTAACTTTTCTGTTACCTCCTTTAAATGTGTGCAATACAGTCTTGACATGGTGTGCCTGAACTGATGCATCAGGAATTGCTAGAATGAGCCATTTCTGGATTGTGAACCATAATCCATGAATAACTCAGCTAGAATTCCAAAAAAACCCCCAGGAAACTGATTTGCCATAATTAATTATCTTACAACTCAGTGCATTCTGCAACAACTCAAGTTTTGTTGGGGGGGGTTCAGAAAAGAGTATTAGTTCACTGGCAAGAAGCAGTCTTCCTTTTTAACTCAAACAGCTCTTCCTCTTTATTATATCAAGAAGGAAAATTTACTGGTCACTGGGTGTGTCTACACATGCATTTACTGCACAGTAAGTGGTTTTTAGGTTAGTGTCTACATGTGCAGCTGTTAAAGCGCAGTAATGCTGTATGCAGACTGACTTGGGACTAATTTAGTCCCAAGTCAGTCCACACACACAGTGTTACTGTGCAGTAAGGGGTCTACATGGGCATTACTGCACAGTAACTAATCAGGTGTAAATTTGATACCTGCATGATGCAGGTCAAATTTACACCCAAGTTGGCATAAGTCACCTTAGTTACTGCACAGTGCAGGTGTGCATGTGTAGGCATACAGCCATACTGCGCAGTAATTTTCTCTTACTGCACAGTAAATGTACACATGTAGACACGCCCACTGAATTTCAGTTTGAAAGTTGCATTCACTTTAGGAGAAAAAGGAAACCTCTCAGTCACCGTGACACAACTAGATAGAACTATGAGCTGCATAAAACTACTAGAAAAAAATCTCTGCAGAAACCCCTTAGTCAGGAGGTGGATTTGTGCATTTAAAGAGGTTATATATTTCTTAGCTAAACAGTTAAAAATTAAAACTGAAATAGCAAATTGGCTTTGAGCAACTTCAGAGCCTTGTCTCTTCCACAATGGCTTGTTAAACTTGCCAACCCAATTGGGTACAAGATACCTTAATTCAGGAAAAGGGGCTTGGAAGCAGTTTAAGAGAGAAATTTTGTTTCATAGAGTTGATGAGGCATCCAAGATTAATCTAAGTCTCTCTAGGTCTAAATCTGTGCACCACAGGAAACTGTGTGTTGTATACTTCAAGGGCTCTTTCCAAAATTAAAGCCCTGAAGAACACAGTGTAAGGTTGCAGAAAAGCCCATGGGGGTGATATGTATGAAGTACCACGTAAAAAATTACCACAACCCATTTGGCAGTCTTAGTAATTAATCTCTGAGATAATCAGAAAAAAATTCTACTGATCCCCCTGCTTCCTGAAAAATGTTGTAGCTGAAAGATTTGGGTATATGTTTGAAGTTTTGTTAAATACTATTGTTTTTTTATTCTGTGGGTGTACAGTTAGCTCAGATTTCTTAGAGTCACCATTTAACAGGACAGTGGCCCTTCCAAATTTAGGCTGGTATTGCCTCTTCACATCCTACCATACTGTCATATATTTATTCTGCATACAAAAAGTCTGCATGCATGGATATCCTTATGTATGAAATGTGCTGGAATAGGAACATTAAGCTGTTATATTGTTTGAGTCTTTTTAAAGAGTATTAACAAAGTACAGTTGTTACAGTTGTTTATCTCATTCTATCTACAATGAGTTCATATTTTCTGAAGGTGGAAAAATTATCATATTTTTCCATTCTAAAAACAACTTTAAATACTTTTACATACATGATTAATTTCAAGAAGCAATACCTTACGTCATTTCAGGACAGAAGGGAGTGCTAGTTTGTAACAACCAGAAATTTTTATTTGTTTCAGCTACTTTGGTTAATACAAAGAGAAAGCATCAGATTTCCTTTGTGACAGGTGCACATACTCTGGTAATGGGGATTAGAAACATACCCCAAAGTCAGGAACTTCCCTTTTTCAAAGGTATGAATCTCATATTTATAACCTCAATGAGTCATGATATATCAGTACTTATATCTGACCCTGAAGCTAGGATATTTTGGTTTTTGGCAGGTTTTATTTTTTTGGAGGGGGGAAGGGAGATTCCATTATAGGGGAAAGAAGAAACCAGCTCTCTGGCACATTATTTTAAATCACACTAATAATTGTTTGAAGGTTCTCAGATGTTAGAAATAGTCCCAGTGTAGACTGTTTAGTGGGCAGAGTGCAGACAAGGGTTAAAATGTATAAGATATTACATGTTATTGTATAGTTCAACTATTCTACCCTGTTCTTGCTGACACTAGCACAACGGGTTACAATCCTGGGACAGGGGGAGTTTTTAGGAGATGCATGTGTTCCACTAGGCAAGGAATAACTCCTCCGAGTGTTATACAAATAGAGTTTTTGCCTATTGCTTTTAATCTTGTGTGTTTTCTTGAGTTTTGCATTGCCTTAAGAAACTCTATTTTGTATTGCTCTGTAGCTTGACATAAGTGCTCAACCTTTCAATGCTATATGTGTGAGACAATGGCTGAGAGTGTGTCTATGGAAAAGGAAAACATCAGCTGGTGACTGGCTGAAGAATGCAGACAGGTAAAAGTCCAAAACAAGAAGAATCCACCCCAGAACAGTGAGAGAACAAACAATGGCAATTGACCTTCAAGGAAGAATACACTGATAACACAGCAAAAGCCCAGAGGACTGGGTGAATTGACAAAGCTATAAAAGATAGGGTGAGACATATCAATTTTGGGTCTTGTTCTGCATGTTATCCTGGAACATCAGTTCATCTGACGAGATGGACCAGCAGGAGCCTGGCTCCTACTTGTGATCAACTTGGCTGGCCACTAAGTTGATCTGAGTACTGGTAAGACTGGTAACGTGTGGCAGAAAGCCACCTTGGTTTCTCCCCAAAAATCTCTGCCCTGTGACACTGTGACCAAATCTCTGTGCTGTGACCATTTGATTAGGTCGGGCTCAGCAGAGGAGACCACAACCTTACCCTGTCTTTAGGTAACTTGAGCTGGCTGCATTCCTGAGGGAGGGGGGGACCTGCTCCCTCTGCCTACGTGACTTGAATCAATCACCTGGGTGAGGGTTTTCTACCTGGGGAGCTGGAATCTGCCCGGTAACAGGTGATGTATTTCAAATTGGTTGGCTGACAGCCAGCTGGGGCTGACCTCCACTGGACCAGGTGAATGAGGTCACAGCAGCTATATAAGTTAGGTGGGGGAGGAAGGCAGTCTCTTGGGCCATGAGGTGAGGCTGGAGCCATGAGGGGGGGACTCAGAGGAGCATAAACATCTGAAAGGGTCCTCTCCCCCAAAAACTCATGAACAAGGAACAGCCAGACGCTAGAAAGGATCTCATCAGCCTCTGGAAGAAGCGTGTGAGTAAGCTACTCGAGATCTGATAGATATCTAGCTGGCAGTAACTTAGATGCGTTATCAAAAGGTTACCACAGCCAGACTCTTTGCTCTTTAGGATTTCTAAGAAGTTGCTCAATCCTGTACCCTAGTTTACCCTACCCCTTGTAATCAATAAAGTTCTCCTTTTTGACTGGTGTGGGAGACTTATTGAGGGGTGGGTCTAAATTATGCCTAAGAGACCCCTTAGGACTGCGGACTAAAGGAGACTTTACTTTTTGTCCCCGGACTTGGGGAAGCGCCCCAAGTGCCTGTATTGGGTCAAGTACCCGTAGGACTATTAGGCCTGTGTTTCCCCGAGGATACAGGGCCAAGACAGTCCACTCTCAGGGTGGTGGCGGCACGTTACCCCCAGACTAGCGAGTGTGCTCCGGGAGAGGGGTCGGCCGGACATAAGGCGCCCCTAGGGAGGCATTCGGAGCCTGGAAGGTGGTCGGGTGCAGGGAGGTGGGTGGCTCAACGCAGGAGCGCCCCCTACTGGCCCGCCTCACGTGGTGGAAATAGCGGTGGGATACGAATACCCAGCTGTTTTCCTGAGGTGGGATCTCTGCTCCTGCCACAACATATATGAGCGCAAAACAGAAATTGGGGTATGAATGTGGTGTGTGGGTGTGTGTGTATTAAGCACTTAATCAATAGATGTGGCATCTTGCCTTATCCTCCCTCATAAGGTCTTGCTCATGATTTGAGTAATTGGCAATTTGTGTAACAGGAGTACAGGCCTATCTGTCAAAAAAGCAGAAGGTCAGAACCCTAAACCTAACCCTACCCAACAACACTGGAACTTAAAAGTCACTCTCCCTGGGGATCCCAACTACTGCTTCTGAGACCACAGAGCAACACAGTATGACTTATCTTTGCAGGTTCCTAACCATGAGCATAATGGGTGTCTTTCCTGACACTAGCAATAAAAGCCATCTTGCACAGAGGGTCCCTTACTTGCATATGCAAATTCAACTCTCAAGAGTGCTACACTTGAGGTGGAATGGTGATGGCATAATATCTCTGTCAAAATACCCATTAACTTGTAGGGAAGTGCACAGGGATAGAAGACCTTGAGCACATCCACACAAGCATGCAAACGTGTCTTGCAGCATCTCAAAGCTCTTTCAGATGCTGCAAGAGGTATTTGCAGCACAGGGCAAACTTAA